GTGTCCCAGCTTACAATCCCCTGCTCAGATGTATGCTCAGGACAATGGGACTGTCCCAGGTTGGACTCTCATCTTTGCCCTTGTTCCACCTTGTATGCCTGCTGACAAGCCGCATCAGGTGGAGTAGCCCTTCCTGGTGAGGAGAGAAAGGCTCTGTGGGGCTCAGATACCCAAATGGATTTTTATGTTTGGGCCAACAATGTTTAAAGGACTGTAAATTGGGGATTCTGGGGTCTGCTGCTTATAATCTTCAGCTACACTGTCTCCACAGGATGGGGAGTTGGTAGAAGAGGGATTTCTCTTGAGGTTCCCTAGAGAGTTGGAAAATAGGGTCTTACATATACCCTACTCCAGGACACTTGGCCTCTAAAACCAGGGTCCTGGCCCCAGAATCAGCAATCAGAAAGGTCTCCTAGCTAGAGCTAAACTGGTTAGCAGGCACTCTCGGGCTGAGGGCTTGGGGCAGAAAGAGATACCTTCATTTCAGGAAGTTCACATTCTGACACAGGCAGAGCCCCGACCGTAAAGGAGCCCCCATGCAACAGGGAAGACAGGATATCACCTTCAACATCGCCACTGCATTGGCATCTTGGGAAAAGTCAGACACAAGGGACAAGGGACAAGCAGGATGCTGAGGAGAAGGGAGCACAAGATGACAGAGCAGATAGGGAAACGGGAATGAAGCTTGGCGGTAGGGGTAGGACTCAGACTGTGAAGGCCCAGAGTGGGAGAGTTTGGCACAATTGCCATCGAATATGTCCCCTGGAACAAAGTTTGAATGGGAGAGTCCCAAAGTATGGGGGTGCTGGAGGGAATGAGGAAAGGCTTATATAAAGTATCTTGAAGACTATGGGAATTTTCATCTGAAAACTAATGAGGATGTCTGGGTAGGAAAGGAGCAAGATAAAACTGATGCTTCATGGTGACAATTTTAATGATAATTTGTGGTAGAGAGGGAATCTAGGAAAGACAGGCTGGACGTCTTTCCTAGAGAGGTCATTATGTGGGTATCCAGGCTGATGACATGGACAAGCTGACCAGGGGACAGAAGAAGAGAAAGGCACATACACCTGAGAGAAGGTGGCAGGGGGATACCTGGTCAGGGAGAGGGACAGGCAGGGTCATGGAGGGAGGGGACAGAGATGAGAAGGGGGTAGAGAGAAGCTGAAAGAGAAAAGCTGCTCAAAATGGGGAAAGAGACTATCTGGGGGAAGCTCAAAACCTCAGTTATTGAATCTAAGTTGAAGACAGGACATCCACTTGGTCAAAACTACGAGAGGAAGGTGACCCAGGCCCTGGTGCTAGCCTTCCTATTGGAATAAAGAGAGGAACCTCATCTTAAACTATGTGATAATTCTCCCACCATCCCAAAGTTTAGAAGGGCAGAGGGATAGAGATCTAGGAGAGAACCTCAGAAAAACCACAGTGAAAGGCTGGGGCAAGGCCCAGGAACCAGGAAAGATAACAGTAGAAAGAGTCAGAGCACTTTCTCCAGGCCAAGCACCATTTCAAACCCTTTACAAATATTGACTCTTTCCATCCACAACTATTATTAGCCCCATTGTAAGGATGAGGAGATTTGTGTAGCTAAGTGGTGAAACCAGGATTTAAACCCCAGGAAGTCTGACTCCAAGGCTGTGCCCTTAACCACTACGCCTACTGTCTCTCAGAAAAAGCCAGAACAGAAAGGAGCCCAGGGACAGCACTGTGGCATGGGACAGCCATCTAGGAGAGGTCTCTTGACAGTTGCCACAAAATCCCTGCGCTTACCTGAGCTTCACAGCTCCCCTCAGAAGTCTTCACGATGGGCTCTTTTGTTTTGGGAATTTTGTTTTTGTTTTATTTTTTGGTCCAGAGGGTGGTCTCCCTTTCTTTCCCAATCTTCATTTCAGATTTCTTTCTTTTTATGGTATGTGCTTCCTGAAATTTAACTTAAGTTCTTCTGGCTGCAGCCTCGCCCCTTTCCCAGATTTTCTGCCATTGGAAGAGAAGGAAATGGCCATATACACCCTTCCTATGTTACATCTTTTTAGAGGCCTAAGTGCTAATTCAGTTGTCTCAGGGTCCTGCTTCTCCAGCCTCTTTCTCCAGACCACGCATTTCAGTTTTTACTTCTTTCCCACATTCCAGAGCAAGTCCCTCCCTATTCCCCACCACCTCAAATCCAGCGCCAAGCTGGCAAACACCCATAGGAGAGTTTTTCTCACAATCCTTTTCTCTTTGCCCTTTCAAGGTTCTGATGGGAGAGGTGATGAAGAGGGGCCACCTAAATGCACTGTCTCCATAAAAAAAGGGTGACAACATGTATATTAAACTCAGATGAAGAAAGAAAGATAAGCATTGAATTTAGGCTGTGATAGAGTGGGGTGATGCGGTAAACTCAAAGAGTTCTGATTCCTGGCCAACTACCCTTCATTGGGTGCTAAAACACTTGGATTCCAATCTTCCCTCTCTCTCCAGTCTTTCTGCTATTTCATTTCAATGGTGTGCCTTGGATTATCCCTTCTCTCTGCCCTCTTCCAGGGCCTCACCTCTATCCTGGACAGCTTGGTCTCAGCCTGGACAGTAGCACTGACCAGTCAGGAAAGAGAAGAATCTAGGCCAGGAAGGGGAGGGAGAGTGGAGGTTTTCCCTTCTGTCCTAAATAACCCTTGTCAGGAAAGTTGAGGGGCTCCATTGCCC